CTTTGTACACATACCTTATTGTCAGGCGTATTTTCTTTCTCTCGCTGCACAACCGTCTCGAGTCGGAATCGCTTTCTTGATGAACGCCACCTCGGTAATGGAATCAGATTGGGATTGGGGTGGTTCTCTCTGACCCCAAATCTCTCTCCAAACATCGGTACAGACTCGTACGCCGCTATGAGATATGCATGCACAAATCCATGAATGAAGTAAGTAGCTCCATCTAAGCACACAGCTTTAATGGATTCAACTAATTTTTTAAAAGCCCAACGACCCCACGGATAACTCTCGAATGCATCTTCATCCAACACTAGTTTTGCGCAGTTCAACGGGATTCGGCTATTCCGGTTGAGGCCAAAGATTCCGACATGCAGGAGTTGGAGCTTTGCCACCATTTTCTTCTTCTCTTCACTCCATGTGTGGCAGCGACTGATGACATCATTCAGCTCTTCCCAATTAGGACCGTCAAAGGTTTTGACGCCCAACTCAGCCCAAAACTCAGTGTGATCGATGTCCCAACCATCTTCCACAATTGGATCACAGTTGAATCCCGTAATTTCACCAAACTCGTGCAACGAAAATCTCACTGGTCTACCACCAATCAATGACCAAACCTCATTCTTCCTGTCCACACACAATTGGTTGGATATGAACTGATGCACCATGTTCGCACTCCAAACGTAATACTTCGCTGCAAGCTTGAAAATAGCTCCTATAGCACAAGTGTTCATGAGATCATTGTACACTTCATCACCAATAGCGTCCTTCAACTTCGCGAATTCAGTCAGGTGGGCGCCATAATTGAAGCTATGCTCCTGCAAAGGTGACTTTCCTGGCTGAAACATTCTTGGGGGATATTCATTCGAATCGCTGGAAGAAGCCATCTGCAAAAAATAAATTTTTTTAAATTAAGTCTATCATACAATTTCAAATAAGTCTATCATATACATCAACATATCTATCATACATACCATATACACCACAAAAAAATCTATCACATACTTAAAGTAAACAAGTCATCTTAAGACCAATATGAAACAACTCTACCATTCGGTTTTAAAAAACACGAAACAACTCTACCATTAGGTTTTGACAAACACGAAACAACTTTACCATTGGGTTTTAAGAAACACGAAACATGAAACAACTCTACCATTCATTTATATCATATACATCAACATATCTATCATACATACCATATACACCACAAAAAAGTCTATCACATACTTAAAGTAAACAAGTCATCTTAAGACCAATATGAAACAACTCTACCATTCGGTTTTAACAAACACGAAACAACTCTACCATTGGG